TAACCGTGATCTCAACAGATTTCATGCTCGTCTTTTCAAATACCCTTAGCACACACTGGTAGACTCCACTGTCCTCCATTTGAGCGTTCGTAATCCTGAGGATAGCTTGCACTCGGTTGGTGGACCAGTCTTTCACAATACTAACCATTCTGTCCTGGATTGACGCGTTACCATTACTGACATCTCCTTTCTTCCACTGAAGCTGAATCTCTGACACTCCTTCTGATTCGCATGTGACAATTGTACTTCCACCTTTCGGCACTATGATCGGATTGGCTGGTTTCAATTCAAAGTAGTCGGGGATTCGAGCTGCAAATTTAAATATGAGTTTAATACAACTCGGCTAACAAAAGTTGGTCTTAGTGAACGAGAGTAGTGGCCTGTTACTGCCAGAGTTTATTCAGATTTTTGCAGATGATTCACCTTTAGTCCATTGTAGGAAACAAACTTGCATTGCACTTAAAGCGAATTTAAAAGTAAAGTGCGTCATTATAAGTTTGATTGAGACACGGCATCCTAGAGAGACAGCTTTACTGATATGATGGGTTTTTATTCTTATAATACTTTACTAATTATTAATTAAAACGAAATAGTGGTGCCGAAAATAACTCTCTTAAATTTGAAAACAATCAAAATTTGTAAACAAATCTGAACCGCTGAACAAAAACAAGTGCAAAGATTCTACAAATTCTCTTTACCTTGGCTCACGATTAGGTAACCTCTTGTAGATGGCCAGCGTATGCTCTCATTCTCCTCAGTTTTGGCCTCACAGGCGTATGTTCCCTGATCTTTTAGACTTAAATTTAGAAGTGTAAATACTTGACCCTTTAACAAAACCTTCTTTGCGTCGATTTTTCGCTCCCTGAAAGGTGCCAGGGGATGGTGTCTGTGATAGAGTGATACTGTAGCATTTCGGTCGTTAGTGGAACAGTTTAATGTCAAACTATGGGCCTGGTATCCGTGCAAAATCACGTCTGGTTTAACGAGGAAAGATAATGGTTCTGCGAAAAAGTTGACAATAAACAAAAATTGATTTGTAAGTGGTATGCAACTGAAAAGCTTTTTGGACAAAAGTAAGCTCGTAAACCGTTACCTTCCTTGAGGTGGCCATGAGAAAAGATTGCTTATTGGCCTTCCTCATAGGCAGTTATGATAAAACGAACTCAATCGTGTATGCACCATGCAAGCAACCAAAACGATATGACTAGGTGAAGATCTGAAACCTGTAGAGCAAAAGGGACTTGCTCAAGCATCTGTGTAATATTTCGATGGTGGTTTGGGACTCGACTACAAAATCCTTGCCTTCATCAATGTTCGAAGAGATCTCCACATTTACATTTTCCGTGATTACTGCATAAGTTTTACTTAAATTACCTCTAACATACAATGAAATCATCTTGTGATCTGTCTTGTCAAAGACCCTTAACACGCATTTGTAAACACCAGCATCTTCTGCCTGAACATTTGAAATCTTAAGGAAGGCTCTAACTTTATTTGTGGATCTGTCCTTATCAACAGTGACAAGGTTACTTGGGACAGAAACATCTCCTGTTTTGGTTTGTTTCATCCAGTGTAGTTTGGTCTCTGAGATACCTTCTGATTCACAAGTAATAGTTATTTGCTGCCCTTGTCGTACAGTGAGCGGTGTTTTAGGCCTCAAAACGAAATGATTTGGTAATCCACCTACCAGAAAAAATTAATAAATATCAACGGTCTATACTTGAAAGAGTAAGGGAAAGCCCTCGAAAAATTCATGCTGCTCTTGTTGTACATTAAGTGGTGTTTCAGGCCTCAAAACAAAGTGATTTGGCGATCCACCTGCCAGAATAAATAAATTAATATTAAAGGTGCATGCTTGTAAAAATAAAGGAAAAGCCCTTGCAAATTTCAAATGATAAGTGTAAGTAGGCTGTCCCGTTGATGGTTCAGGCTTTGCGGTGGCTTTGTAGTCTCATACAACTAAGGTGCATTAAAGACAAACTATGGGACCAAAACAACATTACCATTGTAACCGTAACGCCTGTTACGATTATCGAACCTTATCATGGAAGGAAAAAGGTCATCGGAAAGCTGAGGTTATGTTTAATCCTAAATAAATTGGCTTGAATCTTGTAAATTACCTTACCTCGAATAGGAATCAAATATCCTCTACCAGGTGGCCATCGAATGTTCCAACCACCCCGATTACTCGCCTGGCAGGAATATATTCCAGCATCTCTGCGTTCAACATTTAGTAAAGTAAAAACGTTTCCTTTCCTCGATAGTTTGTTTTGTTTAAGGTCCAGCTCATGGAAGGAAGCAAGCGGATGATGTTTGTATAGGAGAGATACTGTTGCCTCCTGATCATTTGTAGAACAGTTAA